CTATAATACAACCCAACAAGATAATGCCTAACAAAACTGAAACAGAGTGAAACAAAATTGGAACAACACAAAATCATTATAATAGCCTCCTGAAATGTCCATCCGTCCTTTCTCCCTATCTGTTCCTCAGATGTGAGCGGTTTTTCTTCCATCTTACACATCTCCAGGGACAGGCAACTTAAAACAAAAGTGAAACAAAATAACAAAAGAGGAATCTTAAAATGGCTACCCATCCTCTTGCCCTGCCCTCAGGGGCGAGCAGTTTCACTTACCCTCAGTCGCTCCCCGTGCGGCCCACCAAATGCCGCAGTCTGGCTGGGCACAATCAGGAGCCACTTGTCAAAAGAAACTAACTTTATTTTTAGAACCACACACGCCAAACAAAACAGCCTCTCAGGAAAAACCCTCAGAGCCTCAACTGCCACCACCGGCTTTCCACAAGCCTCTCTCTCCCACAAGCTTCTCTCCACCTCCCACAATCCTCCTCCTCTTGAGGCCGATTGGCTGGGTCACGTGGGCGAAGCCAAAAAAGTCCCCCAATGAGCAGCTCTGTGGTCTGAAAGGGCAGGGAAACAGCCCAATGAGCATCACCGCAGAGGAGCCAATCAGCTAGATGTTGCTGGGGCCGCTGTGAGCCAATCATCAGCCGGCAGCTGGAAGTTTGCTGGGGCCCCTTCGGCTGTGGCTCTCAACAGTAGCACATTACTGGTAGTGTGCTTAATGTTCAAAAGCACTACCCAGACTTGTAGGCCAGAGATAACTTGAAGCATTTTCAGCATAAGTTCAACTAAAAACAATTGAGTTTTTGTGAACAAAGTTAAGATGCTAAATATACTGTTTTCAAAGAATCTATGAAAAAGAGAAGTGTAATATGACTTTCTCGTGTGTGTGTGTGTGTGTGTTTTTACTGGGTATACAACCCAGAGCCTTACACAAGTTAGGTGTACACTACCACTGAGCTATATCCGCAACCCGAGAACTATAATATGAATTCATGTTAATCTCCTCTTAAAGATACTTACCAGTCTTCTCTCCATCTTGGTGACTTCCTCCCTCTTCCCAGCCAGAGTTGTTAATTTTTTTCTCTTTTTTAGACAGATGAGCAGAAGTAAGAATGAGCTGGGAATAGGTGAAAAGCTAGTCAGATGTTATATATTCTTTCAAATCTTTCTTATGCACACTTTACCTATAGATTCTGTGCTATCAAAACTAAGAACTGATATTTTTGTTTGATTTCCTCTGTAGAACCCCATTTCTCCTTTAGGCCAGGAAGGTCAAGAATCCTTTCCTTCTATAATGCTACTTCCAAATCATATTCTTCCACCTGAATGTAAAATACCTGCTTTTTTAGTCCTCATGCCTCCTTTGCATAACAAAATATACTCTTCCTCCTGGCTTCACTCACAGACTTCATAGTCACTCTGTATCTACTAAGACAACCAAGGTTCTTTTCCTTATAAGTCTTGCCATATTCCTAGCTGACTGGACTTCCAATCCCATCTTACAATCTCATCCTTCAATTCACAACTCTCATTACTTGTATTTCTACTTCTCTTCCACAGCCATATTCTCAATCTTGTCATCACTGACAGTTGCTATACCTCGACATTCTCTCCCAATTCCTTTTAACCCCCAAGTCAATTACTGAGCTACACAACAGAGTCCCCCCGCCACACACACATTTCCATTAAAGGTATCATGCAGAGTATTTTTAAACATCCAAATTCTAGGACCCTTTCCTATATATCAGGGGTCCTAGATTGAGCTGGTTACCAAAATCAGTCTTATAAATTTGAACAGAGTATATTTGGAAGTGGTGATGGAGAACACTTTTCCCCACTAGTAACTGTTATCTCCAGTGAATAGCCTTCAAGGTGATCAAGCTGTTTGTTTACATATGACAGACCTTTGATAAGGTATAGTTATTATTTCAGACTTTATTTTTGTATCTGACTTCTTATTTATCTTCCTGAATCTTTTAGATATATTGTGAATAGAAGTATATGTGTGATGTCTTTAGATAAAAATGTTTTCAGAAATCAATGAAGTGTTCTCTTTCAAGTATTTGTTGCTAAATACAAAATTGGAAAATCCACTGGAAGTCTGTTTAGACAAATACCTATTTAGTATGGTAAGAAAATACTGGTGAAAGTCCTTTGAGCACAGCATTATCTATCAGATTTTCTTGAGAAGTAGAATATAAAATGATGTCTAGCTAACAATTCTTATATCTGGCTGAATGTCAAGCAGAACACCATCCTCCAGTTATTGATTCTACAAACATTTCTGCTCATTGCATCTTGGCACCAGTCAGCAAGGAAAACACAACAAACACTGGATGGCACAACATAAGTTACACAGAAACAGAGGAAGTTTAGCTCCAATAGTGTTTACGGATTCTTCATGGCTAGTGGGTTCCCAGTCAGCCACAGCAGGAAAGTGCGCCTACATGCACTTCTCTTGTGCTGTTGTGAAACAACCCTGACCCCTTCCTCCAGGGATGATGAAACACGGAAAAATGGGGTGCCTGAAGAGCCATGGATGCATGATGAGGCAGATCAAAGCAATAGTCATCGAGTCTGAAAACGGGGAAAGGTATTTCCACACAAGGCCCAGGCAGTGTGGTCTCTTTCTTTTTCTTTTTTTCCTCTTTAATTCTTGATAAGGAAGTGTTCCAGACTCGAGGCCTATTCTGATGTGGCTGGGGCAGGGTGTGGGGAATGTGAAAAGATTGTACATATGTAACTGCCTTTCCCAAAGCTTGCTTAGCTTTCCCTAAAATACCTATAGACAGGGAAGCTCACACTATAACAAAAATCTAGAACTGATGAATTATTGCTAGTATCTTAGGAAAATTTCTACCATTAAGCCAATTGTAATTTAATTTAAAAAAATGCCAACATTGTTAAGCAGCTAGTATCAGAGGAACTCTGTAAGGGCCACTTGTCTTTCTGTATCTATGTTAATGAAAGACCAGAAGACTGACCTATCATTCTACATAGGTCCTTCATTTTTGAAGCTAATATATGATCTCATCTTCCTACCAATTAATACCGTTCTCTTTGATCGTGAGCAAGTTATTTAACCTCTCTATAACCTCAGTTTCCTATTCTATAAAATGAAGTATCTTAATTTTTCTCGTGCTCAGAATCATGCACATTATTTTTATATTATATCTGTTGAATCTCAACAATTCAAGCAAAGATAGGCAAAAGGTCTTAGGTCTGTTTGTGCTATTAACAAAATACTCAAGACTGAGTAATATGTAAAAGATCAAACATTTCTTTCTCACAATTCTAGAGGCTGGAAGCCCAAGATCAAGATATTGGATGATCCAGTGTCTAGGAAGAGCCTGTTCTCTGCTTCCAAAGAGGTACCCTGTTGCTGTGTCATTCAATGGTAAAAGTATGAAGGGTGAAAGAGACAAATGCGGTGTATGCACATGGTAGAAGGTAGAATGCCAAAAAATGGCCTTGCTAGTTCCAGCCCTTTTATAAGGCACTAATCACACTAATGAGGGAAAAGACCTCATGGCTTAATCACCTCCTAAAGGCCCTGATTGTTAATATTGTTGCATTGGAGATTAAGTTTCAACATGAATTTGGGAGGGGACACAAACATTTAACTATAGTAAGCCTCTAGACAATGAAAACTGGGCTAAAAAGTTGTGATAATTAATTTTTATGGACCATGGAGTACCCAGATATTTGGATGCTTTGAGAGGGTATGATATACAAAATAGGTATTCGGTGTTCGTCTGTGGTTCCTGGCACAGAGCTCCAGTGCTTTGGAATTTTCCAAGGAGTTTTTTTGATTATTCATAGTAATCCTTTTTCAACCATGTCTGATTTTATGAAAGATGAGTGTTGGCTGCCAAAGAAATCAATCAGGTAGTTAGAAGTTTGGATCTTTCACCTCTCTCCCAACTCCGACCTCTAAGAGGATGGGAGAGTGCTGTGTTTCATTAATTACCAATAGTCAATGACTTAATTACGCCTATATAATGGGGCCTCTGTAAAACCCCTGAATAAGAGTTCAGAGAGCTTTTGGATTGGTAAATGCATTATACCTGGAGGGTGGTGTTGCCTAACTCCTTGGGGACAGAAGGTCCATTTTCTTTGCTCTAAGATGGGGGTCAGCACACTTTTTCTATAAAGGTTTAGATAGTAAATATTTTAGGCTTGTGGGCCCTATAGTCTCTTGCAACTATTTAACTCTGATAGGGTACTAGAGGGCAGCCATAGCCAATATGTAAATAAATGAGTTTAACTATGCTCCAATAGAACTTTCAATAGCTGGCTGGATTTGGTTAATGAGGCATATCTGTGGACCTCTAGTCTAAGGTAACTTTTCAAACTTTGGCTCCACTATTTGCCATTTCATTTCTTAAACATAAACAAAGCAAAGACTGACTGGAGGCTATTTACCAATTCAAATTTTATTTCTCTTATCAACTAGTACATTATCTTTGGCCTTATGAAAAAGCTCCACCAATTCTGTGTTCCTAAAAGACAAGCCCAATGAATAATTTAAGGCCAAGCGGTTCAGCAAATTTATTCACAAAGTGCTTTCTTCAGCCATTTTCAAATAAAGTCCCACAAACTAGCCACTAGAGATTTACAAATGATTGCAATAGAATATAGCTATGAAAATCAATACCAATCTTTTAAAATCAGTAAACAAAAATAAAATGCCATTAAGTATTTACTTATCTATTTGTAGCTTAAATTAAGATTGGTGGATATTCTTATTCCCCAAGTGGAAACTATTGTGTCTACACACCCAGTTGAGCCTAACGTTGTCATATTATTTACCTTGATCACAAATAGGATCTTCCCTTTTAATAACTTATTGGCTTTTAAAATACAAATTCTAATGGCTAAAGCCAAAAATAAAAATATATTTACCATCAGTAAATTCAATGGCTCATATATTTTTTTCCAAAAACATTTTTTTAAACAAAGTGTTTGCCTTTCTGAGAAACAATATAGGGCAAAATTATTTCTTAGAGTACTTTTTGTCCAATTAAGCTGATAATAATCACTCCAAATTTTAATGCAATATCAATCATACTGAAAACTTTTCTAGGCTCTTAATAAATCAATACCATTCTCAATCCAAAAGATTTAGATTTATTTGTATTGATTTTAAATTTAAAAAAATCTCATTTCAGAACCAACATATAAGCTACCAAATAATTTTACAGAACCTCATTTTTCATGATCCAACTTCATCCTTGTTTTGAAAACACTTTTAAAATATTATCTAAGAATTCTTTTAGCTCAGATTATAGTTTTTGTTTAGCTTCCACACTGAAAATTCTGACAACTGTCTAAAAAGATCCACAATTAGTGCAAAAAGAGGCATTATGTTAAGTCATTCCTTCCCACTATAAATAGAACTAAGGTTACTAAATGCCAAATTTTATGTAAATATATAATTTTCTACTTTCTGAAAGATAACATATAAAAATAGTTTTATAATAAGTTTAATGAGGGTTATAGCACATGTATTATAAGCTTTATTTTAACTGCAAAAATATTTTGGCTGCATTTTGGGAAAAAATAAATTTACTGAGAATATAACTGCAAACTTCTAAAGGCCAGGTGCAAGAATACTGATTATTTTCCTTGTGTAAGTGGAATACATGTCATAAAACATAGGACAGTCACTTTGTAGGAATGAATGCATTTTAAAAAATACTGATTAATTTTCAGGGAATTCCACATTTGCCTATTAAATAGAATTTCCTCCATCTGGTAAGGCTTTGGTATAGGTGATTCCCAGCACTTTCACTATTTATCTTTCTTCTTTCCTTCTTTCTTTTCTACTTCTTCTGTCTTTTCATCCTTCTCTTTTCTCATATTTGCAGTTGCTGCTCCTTCTTGACTTTCTCCCCGAGAAGCACCAGGTATTTGATAGTCCTCAAGGAGTTTTTGTCCTGTTTGTTTTGCAGTTTTCTTCACCACTGCTTTGATACCAATGTTGTCAATATTATAGGCAGTTACACCAACATTGATGGCAGAATCCACTGCATGGTGTGTAGCTTCTCCTGCATTATGCCCATATCTTACAAAATAAAATGAAAATGAGAGAATGTACGATGAAATATAAATATAAAATAAAGTCTTCTGCATTAGTATTTAATAAATTATGTGACTACTACGTTATCCCTAAAAAGTAAAATCAAACCTTAAGGTTTAATTTAATTAACAACTCAAAATGAAATCACACTGTGACAAAGCAATAGTTTCCCTTGCAGTAAAAACCATGTTTGAAAATAAAAGACTAGCTGGGAATAATATAATAAAGACTACTGAATAATAATAAAATGTAAATTATAATAAAGGTTTTTTTTCATACTCCCCTCACCTTCTGGAAATAATAAGGAAAAAATTTCACTGAAGCAACTGCAGTACAGAGAATCTAGAGTCATTATAAATGGTTTCACATTTTAGCTTAACTATACTTTGGTGAAGACTTTTAAACCATGGGAATCTGAGTTTGCCTTTAAGCAGAGATTCTTTGACATTTTCCTTGGAACTCCACTCTACTACAGACTCACTGGTCTTCTTGCCTTTCCTTGAATCTACCAAGCATAGAAAAGGTCTTAGGACCTCCCTGCTGGCTGGAATCTACCTCATTTTCCTTTAGCTACTGCCTCACTTTCTTCAAGCAGGTTCAACTATTATTTTCTCAGTATTTAATTCAGTTCAAATGGCCTTATCCATATGCCCCATCTCACTGCCAATCAATTCCTCTTTGAATTACTCTTTGTTCTTCCATACTTATCATTTTCTAAATGCTATAGAATTTATCAATAACTATTATTTATTGCTTGTCTCACTAAAATATATTATTACTTGTCTCACTAAAATATAAACTTCATTGGAAAGCAGAATCTTTCCCTTGTTAATGTATCCTAAGCACCTAGAACAGTGTCTGATCATCAATAAATATTTAAGGACTGAAATGATTAATTCCCACTCTATACAGCTCAGTTTCTTGAGCATCAAATGTATAGCAAAGTACTTGAGAAATTACAAACATATACAAAAGCAGTCATTAATGTCAATAATCTATGTCTTTAATTTTATATCTGAGAAAATACAATCTGAAATCCTATACAAGGATATTAAAACATATCTCCTGTTGTTTTACTCTGTACCCCTTGTTGCAGCATCAAGCTTTTGAAGCTTTTCTTGCTTACATATTTCCCTAAGCAGAGCATTGTTTAAACAATAATCAACCACCAAAGGGAAAAATTTTACACTTTTTCCAGGACACATGAAAGTTGCACAGGTGTTTTGGGACCTACATCTGGATGTACTATATATCAACAAAGGATCTGTCTTTAAATTAACAAGTCCTATTACTATTAGCCTGGCCTTAAACAGTGGGTGGTATTCCATTGGCTTATTTGTGCTTTGCTTTCCTCAAACCCAGTGTTGTGTGAGTAATCTTATTATGGCTCTGAATGATGATTACATTCTGTCCTCTGTCTAATGTTAATAATTACATTATACTAATTATATAGACAGAAGCTATAGTCATTCAAACCTTAAGTCTGGGCTAACTCTCCACCAAGAGATTTCTCACCAGGTATGTGAGAAAAAAGCTTCCTGTAACTGCTCTCTGTAGTTAATTGTTTTTTTTCTCTTTTTTATAGTACTGGGGGTTTGAACCCAGGGGGGGGTGCTTTCCACTAAGCTATATTCCCAGCCCCCTTTTTTAAAATTAATTTATTTATTGGTATCAGGGATTAAACCCAGGGGCACTTAACCACTGAGCCACATTCCCAGGCCTTTTGATATTTTATTTAGAGACAGGGTCTTGCTAAGTTGCTTAGGGCCTCACTAAATTGCTGAGGCTGGCTTTGTACTCACGAGATGTTGAATCTCTTGAGGCCTGTCTCAGCCTCCTGAGCCACTGGTATTATAGGCATGGGCCATTGCACCCAGCTTTATTTTTTTATTTTGAGATAAGTTCTCACTAAGTTGCCAAGGTTTGCCTTACACTTGTGATCCTCCTGCTTCAGCCTCTCAAGTGGCTAGGATTAAAGGCATGTACCACCATGCCTGGTCAGTCCCTATTATTTTGTAAGTCCTCAGCATTCTGCAGGATTTGCTAATGGTGCAGAACACATTGGGGACCTTCTCATAGCCAACCAAGCCCGAGTCAGAAAATACTATTGTCAGGAGGCAATGGCTATGACTAAACAAGAAAAAGGGATAGTGGCTGTTTCAGTACTGAAAAAGTAACTAACTCTTAGTGACACCAGTTTTTCTTAAAGCTTACTTCTCTAGGACTGGGACACCATAACAAGAATTTGGCCACAGTCAGGTTTTCAAGTCCAGGAAGCACTCCAGATGAATAAACTTCCACTGCTAGATACTTACAATGTTTTCTACTCTACTACAAGTTTAATACCTCTTATTGCACTCATATTTCTATGTGTAATGCAATTCTAAAAACAACACTGTTCTTAATATTAAAACTCAATTTGTTTTGATACCCTGTTGATTTCACTTCTTATTCTATGTTATCACAACAAGTTTCTGTTAAGCTAAGGAAAATAGTTATAAAATTAGGAATCAGAAAATTAGATTCTAATATCAGATGTGCAAATAACTAGCCATATGACCGTGGTCCAGTCCCAATCTCTTTGCTTCTCAACTTCTTTATCTCATAAAAATGATGTATATATGAAAGCACTTTGAAAATTCTAAAGTAGTACTAAATACGTTTTAAGAGACCTTTCAGTTTTATTTTTAAATATATGCTCACCTCTTCCTCATCTGCTTCCCAAAGACTTACAACCAGTTTTCATAAAAGTGTCTATTCTTCTCTTCATAATTAACTTCTCAGTACATTTTTTACTCATATTCAAACTACACTGCTAAGAACTCATAGGAAACATATCTGGCAAGAATATAAAGCTTATTCTTGATCTCTTTTTGATAAATTATTATGTTAGATTTTATATACTAACATTACCAAATGAAGAATACAAAGTGAATATGAAATATGTTCTAAATAAATCAAAGGAATTTATGTGTTGAGGGCCACAGCCCAGTGGGGATGACGCATGGCATTTTTGCCAGAACAAGTGGTTGAGAGGTGATGCCAGCAAGCCATTGAGATGATGATGGTTATGTTAAGCTGTGTATTCAATTGTATATTAGATCCCTGCTGTCTGCCTAGGCCTGCTACTTTGGAGTTCTGGAGAGGAGAGGGGATTTCCGGAGGAGGGATTTCGGGTTGGTGTGTGGTGTGTCCCAGCAGAAGGCCGCGTGCGCGTGGCATCCTCGGGAGTGCAGAGAATAAAGGAGTTCCTGTTTTGAACCTACAAGGCTGTGTGGCGGCTCGGTTATTTTGTGCCCAGCCAGACTGCGGCATATATGAATCAGACTTTTCAGAAATTTTCCTAATGTGTTCAGTCATATTTTTTTTAATATTTATTTTTTAGTTTTCGGCGGACACAACATTTTTGTTTATATGTAGTGCTGAGGATCAAACCCGGGCCGCACGCATGCCAGGCAAGCACGCTACCACTTGAGCCACATCCCCAGCCCCGTGTTCAGTCATATTGACACATATAGCATATTGCCAGTGATTTTAGATTTTAGTAATTATTGTAACATTTCAATTACAACTTTCAAATAAAATTTCCATGTAAATCAATTCATATGCCACCTTCAAAATTATCCTCAGATATATTACCCTGAAATATTTGAAGCATTAATAGCTTTTTTTTTTTTAACCTAGTCATCAAAGGTAGATAACTTATGGCTATTTATGAAGGAATTGTAGGTGAAGCTAAGGAGTTTAAATTTTATCTTGAAATTGGTGGAAAATGATAAAAAATTTACTAATGGAAATGGAATGATCCAACTTATGTTTTAGAAAGATTCCTCTAACTGGTTACATTCTGAATTTGAAGAGTATACACAACTGGAAGTAAAGGAACCAGTTAGGAAATAAGCTGTGGGCTGGATAGGAAATGATGAAGGTCTATTCTAAGGCAGTAAGGTTTGAGAGCAAGGGATGAATTAAAAAAAAAAAAAAAAACCAGAAAAATCTGTAGTAATGTAATTTGGATGTTTGAGTCTAAAGATTAAGACATAAGTTAACAAAAAACACAGGTTTGAGAGTTGTTGGTATACAGGTCATAATTGTATCCACAAGTGTGGATAAGATTATCCATGAAAAGTAAAAGAAAACAGAAAAAAGAAAAACTTTAATGAGGACCAATATGTAAAAGATAGATGTGGAAGAAAACAATCCTGAGAAACAGTCTGATAAGACCAAATGGAAAGATGGGCTATATGAGAATACTGTTAAATTTGCACACTAACTCATCATTCTTAACAAACATTAAATACTAAAACAAGATCAATCAGGAGAGGTAAACAAGCGTGTGATTAAAAGTTATCCATGAAAATTTCAGGAAAAAAGATATACATGAAAAAGTCACTATCTTTCAAATAAACTTAAAACCCAAACTAGAAGGGTGGCTAACATCACATACCAAAAGCAAAAGCTAAAATGAAGAACTGACTTAAATGATGGGTCAAAATCAACAAAATAAAATTAACAGTATAGATGAAAACTCTAAATTTTAGGTACAAGTAGCAAATGTCCAAAGACAAGATACCAAAAAAACATACTCTGACTTGTGTGCCATTATTTTATCAAGTGAAAAATATGAACAAGATAAGGGAAGCAAATCCCACTATATTTGATGTGATCACAATAGAGCTGGAATATTAGATTCAATTCTGTATGCCACATCTTGGAAATAATACTGATAAACTTCTATTTTTCCCTTATATATACAATTGTTAAAGAAACTAAGATTACATAGAAAACAAGAAAAAAAAAACAGGTAAAGGACACAATGACAGTGTTTAGATATACCACATGGAAAAAGAAGATTCTGTATATGTAACTCCTGAGTATATGTCATAGAGAACTGGTTTCAAGTACTAATGACAACTGCCACTGGAGTTACCCCTTCACCCCATGCAAATTTTAAGGGATCTTTTAATTAAATTTCATTATAAACAAACCAATAAAATACTGTGTCATACAACAGTAAATTTCTTGCAGGAAAATATTTATTATTACGCTTATTTTTCAAAAACAAACATTTCAATATAAAAATATTGTTAGGGGAAAATAAAAATAGTCTAACCTACTGGAATTATATTATTCTCCTTAAACAATTTAAGGTGGAACTAAAGAAGCTCAATAGTGAAATCTAGAAACTATGAAGAAGAGTGATGATTAATAGGTACTATAGTGCAATTTAGTATAGCAGATTTAAAGTTACTTATTTTCATTGTTCCATAGTAGACAAAACTACTAATGTAACTGACAAAAATAGTCTTAATAGTGCTATACATTTACCTAAAAAATGTTAAGAATGTAGCTAGCTAACCCTCTATATAGGCTTATATCACCAGAAATCAGATAATGGATTTTATGTATTTGTTTTTCTTCCAGGCATAATGCATGTAACAGTAGATTTAAAAGAAATTACTTGAGAGAGTAACATTTTATCACTAAAATAATAATATACATTTACTTTGGTTTACTTTCCTCGGTTGAATTAGAATATAACACAACACAAATGCTCCTCTGCTTTTTGATACTATAATAAATGTAAACAAATAAGGTAGTAAAAAAGTATAAATTTATGTAAATAACTGAGAACTCAATTAAAAGACAGAACAACTAGATCTTCCATGTCTTCAATTCTTTCACCAAGTTATTACTGGCTGAATATTATTTCCATCAGTGAGAAAAACGGATATCTGGGTGTGGTGGCACATGCCTATAATCCCAGTGGCTAGGGAGGCTGAGATAGGAGAATCATGAGTTCATAGTCAGCCTCAGCACATCAGCAAGGGACTAAGCAATTTGGTGAGACCCTAACTCTAAATACAAAATAGGGCTGGGGATGTGGCTCAATGGTTGAGTGCCCCTGAGTTCAGTCCCTGGTACTCTCCACCCCTCCTCCCCCAAAAAAGAAAGAAAATAAGATTACCTGGACAAAATCCTTTATTCTCCACTGCCTCTCTCATCCTTTCTAAGAGGATTTGAAAATAAATTACTATGATAACTGAAAATCATCCCTACAGTTGCAAATACAAAGCTACTTAACTACATTCTCACCTTTTTTTCATCCAAATGAAGGAAAGGATAAAAAGAATTCCAATATATACTATCACAGAAATTAATTTAGAACCACTGTTAAAATATTCTGTTTATCGTATTACTAAGATCAGAAATATAAACTCTATATCAAAACCTAGTTAACAGACTATCAAACTTGGAAAAACCCAACAAGCACTTTCACCTTCTAATATAACTATCTAATTATGCTAATAAATGATAATCTAAATATAACTGACTTTTGGCCTAAAAGGCACTTCTGACTTACTCTTGCTCTTGCTTATAAAAGAAACTTTCTAATTCTGAATGACTAATCAAAATAAATTCAAGGGCATAAAAAATTAGTAATATTAGAGGTCAGTGTGAGAAGAAGAGGTGAACTGGAAGGTGAGTTTTTACATTTCCATCAAAAGAATTTCAGATATACTCTATATTTTCTTTTTCAACTCTTGGTAAAACTGACACTACAATATGTTGTGCCATGTTGCTTTGATTCAAAGCTATGCATGCACCAAATCCAAATCGAGCAGATCAAACCAATTTAGGATGGAAATTAAGTTTGGTATCTCCTAAACCAAAGGGACTCTAAAATCATTAGGTAATGCTACAAAAACTCTAGGTACTAAACTTTCACAACACAAGGTTGTGGTGCCCCAGCACTATTCTCTGCACTGCAGAGCAAAGGTTCTGATGATAACACTTGGTTTATATCCTAGCCCTACAATTTACTAGGGCTGAAATCTTTAATTAGGTATTTAACTCTATGCTTTGATTTCCTCATCTGTAGAATAAAAATATTAAAATACACACATGAAAAGCAATGAACACAGACAGTGCCTAATATGTAAATATGAGTGCCAATACTGCCAATGAATAATTAACATAAATGACCAAGAATAGTGAACATTATTAATGTTTTTTCTTTTGTAACTATGTCATAAAATCTGAATTCAAAGCTAAGAAAGCAAGTCATCTCCTTCATACTAGATATAGTTTTTAGATCTTGATTCCTCTAGTGCTTACTATAAAGGCAGTATAATTAGAAAGAAAAAGAGATAAAAGCAGATCTTGTTTTAAATCTCATCTTTAATACCATCTGTCATAAACTAAATATAGTTGCTGCCACAACATCTATTTTTTAGGTCTCACATAAGCTGTTTGAAATCTGTGGTATCCTAGGTCTTTTGACCTAGTTAAAATTTCCCCTGTGTTGTGGTATAGTCCTCTTGTTCCTCATCTCGCTGACTCAAAAGTCCAGCACACTGCACAGTTGCTGACCATGATAAAACCTAACAGCCCACACCAGACTCATGTGAATAAATTCTTTTCTTACACATTTTCTTTAAACTAGCTAATCCACAATTCCTAGCTAAAAGGATAATGTCCATGATCTTAAAGTCACAATGTCACAGATCCTCTTTCCTCCCCTCTTTTTCACAAATCTGTTCTCTTTCTCTTTCCTGACACACTGGTTGAGTAACCCTGCTGTCTCCAGACTTCCTGACAGCTCTTGTGGGAACACCTCTTTTCTCGTTGATTTGTAACATCATGCTTTTATTATTTTCTGTTTTGTTGTACTACCTCCTCTGTGTCTCACATGACCAATGCAACCAAACCTAACTCTCCTTCCAGTTAATGGTCTCTTAGTGAATATCTCAGTAGGAATAAACTAGATACAGGTCTGACAAGAGACACAAGAATGTCTGCCAGCATAAACAAGGTTCCTGTGAGAGGGACACCACGTGGTCAGAGGTTGGAAACTTAGGCACTGGGTCATCTGCCAGGATAAAGAAGTAATACTAAAAGCTGCATTATAAAAACCCATGATTACCTACCCTGAAGCCCTAGAAGGGCAGGACTAGAATTTATACACACTACTCAGAGATCTCAAAAGCCAAACTAGAAAGAAATCTTAACACCACTTACCAAATAGATATGTACAAACCATTTGTTTGTTCATTTCTTAATATATGAAATAGAAGACATACCATCTGTGCTTTTTAATACAAATGTACAGTGGTTCTAGAGTCAAGATGTGTCATAAATTTGTCTTGTACAACAGTAGGCTAACATTAATAAGGGGTACTATAGTTCAATTGATTCCTTTCAAACAAACATCACCATCAAAATGAAGTCATTAATAGTATTAAAAAATGCAAGCTTTTGTAAAAAACAATTAAGCCTAGTCTTTGCACTAATGGTAAACATTTGTTATAATTAGTAACATGAAGCAAAGTCACAGGAATTCTATTGTTATGTTAAAAATACTACTCTTCTCCCTATTTGAGAAACACAGTGAAAAAAATGTTTTACCAGATATTTAAAAATAATAATTATATAATCATCTTTATCATCCTGGATTTTAACAAATTATACAAAAGATTTAGTCATTAAAGTGATAAAATTCAACTTACTTGTATCTGACAGTTTGTACAGTTTCTGCTGAAACATTGTTAACAATGCATCTAGCTGCACATTCCAATCCCTGCCAGACAGTTGAAAATCCTGTAAATGTATTCAAAAGTAAGTAAATCTCAACTCAAAGCAAACAGAGCTTCCCAATTAAAATTGCTGAGGGCCGGGGATGTAGCTCAGTCAGTGTAAAGAGAATTTGTCTATCATACAAAAGGCCCAGGTTTGAACCCCACCAAACTAACACAGTGTAACATTCTGGGCCTTTTTATTACCTTGAACGCTACTTGCTGCAACAACCATAGCTCCATCCAGGGTAGACTTCCCATCTTTGTCTCTTTTAAGAGATTCTGGAACAAGTTTGCTTCCATGCTTCTTAACATGTGGAGCCAGTTCTTTTCCAACACAAGTTGCTACAGTGCAAACTCCATCAACTAATATGACCATTAAAAAAAAAAAAAAAAAAAAGTATTTAGAAAACCTGTTCTCCCTTGATTTTACCACAATCATTTAGCTTTATTACATAATGCTACCATTTCTACTTGAAAATGAGAAGCTAGGTTGGCTAGTTTTCAAACAAAGGCTATTATTTAGCTTAAAGTGTGCTTTTTATCTACTACTGGTAACCTTACCATACATACATGGCTATACATGTTCTTTTTGGCACTTGTGCTTAAAAGAAAATCATCCACCTTTTCTATCTGACTTTTGCAATACAAAACTGGATGTACCTTTAGTTTTTCAGCAAAGCATATTTATACTCTTTCTCTCTAGCACCAAATATTTCAAGAAATAATAAGGTATTTAAGTCTACAAAAGTAAACAACCCAAAATGTGATTCAAAGAATACTATTTAGTATCCAAATATCAAAGAAGATAATCTCACTAATTTAATGGTAATCCATATTAAGAATGTGACCTTCTTACAACATCAAATTTTAGTGCTGTGATTCTCAAAGGATAAAGGAAGAAGAATATAGCTTGGCAAGACTAGCACCAGAATCATTAAGTCAACATCTCATAAACAATATATCTTTTTTTCTTGACCCTCAACTACTGAGCTGTGATCCACTAAACAATGTGTCATATTCCTTAGATAGAAGCTCAAAGAATAAATAATAAATACATTTGGATCTCCTTTCCAAGATAACATATACTCTCCTTCTCAATACATCAAAACTACCCTTTTACCAGTTTCTCAGATGTTAATATGCAAAAACCAATCATCTAGGGATCTTATAAAATGAAGATTCTGAATGAGTAAAGTGTGTATGGTACCTAAAATTCTGCATTTCTAGGCTCCCAGATAGGCTGATGTTGAAGGTCTACAGGTCTCACCATGAATAGCAAGGTGAAATTGCTGCATTCTAATTCTGAGATTAAAACATCTAAATGAATATTTAGATTAAATGTGGGTTAAGAGATTATTTTTAATTTACTAAAAAGAAGCAAAGTTATCTAGAATTAATTTACCTAGGAACTGGCTGACTTTCGCTGCTCCTCCTGTAGCCTGCTTTGCTATATAAAGTCCCTTGGTGACAGCTGGACTAACTTCCACTGGTTTTTCTTCTGGTTGAATTCGTTCTCGGAGTTTAGAGGCACCTTTCTGGATTGCTTTACCAGTAAATTCAGCACCTTTGACTAAACCCCAACTCACCCAGGAAGCACCTATTTAAAGGAAAATTATTAATTGTATAGCATTAAGGTTATATATATATATATATATGTTATATATTAATAAGTAATATTAACAAGAAAAACATAAAAGGAGTTTAGGTCCCACAAATACAATGCCATAAATTTTCAAGCTAAATCTGTACCTACAATTTTTTGCCTTGATTACACATCTTATTTCAAACTAAACTTATCTTTCAATACTTAGGTTTAACATTTCTCCATGACAGAATTCTGCTTTACTGTATGCTGGTACTACAACTTGTAGTTATCTCCATATGTTACTTACCACAGTTTACTATTGTTAGACACTAATTTTGAGTTTTGGTGCCATTAAGATAGTATTTGGCAGGAGGACCCAGATATTCTTGTTCTTTTTGCCTTGGTCCAGTTACCATTTTTCTCCCATGAAATCCTGAGGGAGAAAGTCACGAACAATGCAAACACAAAGGATGTCTTTCAAATACCACATAAATTCTTGCTTAATTTAAGCTAAAGGTCATTGTATCCTAAACCCAACTCCTAGATCTCAGGACCTTTTAGATTGTTAAATCTGACAAAAACTTAACGTGAAAGACTGCACGAAAAGAGGAAATTTGAAAGATGAAAGGCCTAGAGGATTTGTCATTTCCCATTACTATGGTCCCTAGCTGTTTCCTTCGATCAAAACGCAGAGGGAAAAAATGGAATGCCAGGGTCATCTTTGGTGAAAAGAAAAAGTCCTCAGCCACTGGCAACTTCCAAGAAAAGGTAGAGTGAGAGAAGCAAGAAGTTAAGAGTATTTCATTCCTCTATAGAGAGCTTAAAATTTAAACAATCTCCTTTTTGGCCAACCCCAAAACATTGAACTTTTAAAGCTATCCATATAAAATACTTTAGGATATTATGTCAAGGTCTATGACCTACTTTTACATGATTACTCCAGTCCATGAGTAAGCATCCAGTGATCACGTGAAAATCATACCTAAAAATTTTTTTTTAAAGTTAGAAAAAGTGGCAAGTAATAACTGATTAAATTTTTTTGTTTCTCTTCCTAATTCAGTCAATACCCTACCCTCCATCTCTAATCCTACCCCAGTCATGCCCAATAATTAATTCTGAGGGAAGCCCAAGTCATAAACCTAGGTAAACAGGTTCCCATAACAATAAAAGGCTTGAACATGTCCTTCACAAAAAAAAAAAAAAAAAGATTTTAGAGTTACTAACTTGTAGGTTGAAAAATCTGAAGAAATGAAAAACTGGTTGAACGTGAAGAGACTGATAATGGAACAAAGGAGATTATAACCCCCAAATTAAACTTTGTAAAAAAGGGGGAGGGATACAGTCTACTGGTGACTGAGGAAAATAAATGGAAATAAGATAAATGAAAGATCATAGGACTAATAAAGCAAAATACTAGATGAAAATAAGCAATATATTATCAGGCAATAGCATAACACAGGTAAATATGTTAAAACTGTAGACACAGCAATAGAAGATAAACATAAAACTTTATTGGTAGCTATCTAGAACTTTTAAATGGCATGTGTAGTACCAGACATAGATTGATTCTATTCATGTTTAAATTTTATCTACTCAATAATGCCAACAAATGGCAGATAATGAATGAATGCTTAACAAATGAAAAGTTGGCAGGTAACTCGGAATTATTTCACTTAAACCCAATCACTGCAGTCCACAGTTACCAAACTCCTTAAACATGTTATTAAAAATAGAAACCCCAAACCAAACTTTCTCTCCTTCTAAAAGGCCACCTGAAATCCAAGATGATACAGATCTGAATTTTCTGAGTATTTAATAATTTTATAAAAAATATGTGATTTTTAGAACACTGATCTTTTTAATTCAGTTTTCGATATTCTATATTTGGCTAACAGAGGGGAGGAAATGGCAGCAATTCTCATCTTATGACATGAATTTTTTATTATCCTGTTTGATTTTTGTCCCCTAAAAATCTACAAATATTTTAGCATTTAATCACCATGTACCCCCATCAAAGTATAAGTTGTTTGAATATAGGATTACTCTTTGATTATGCTTCATTAATTTTGTATCCCCTCTATTAGAAAAAGTTCTCTGTGGACCTAACAGCCAGATGACTATACTGGACCAATGGAGTCCTGTAAATAATGTACTGAAGAATAGAAGAGCTTCTTTGTGACTATTCTTTGTCAGACTGAACTAACCAAAAAGGAAAATTTCTCCTGAGAGTCCAGAGGCACATGATGATAATAAAAAACACCTACCTTGGAGAAACTGTGAGTGCAGAAACTGTGACTGCATTGTAGTAGCTGGCTCTACATATATTAGAATGTGTAAGCAGAAAGTGACCACACTTCCACACTCCATGTCAACTGTTTATACAATCCTAGATTCCATCTTTACTTATAGAATTGAGGGAGATTAGAGAATTAAGAAGGTACATTCAAATGGCCTTGATGTTATTTTGCTACCTTACAACCTTTAAAGCTTCTGCTTCTCTCATTTATATCAGATCCTTGAAAAGCATAATGAAAATATGGCATCCCAAGGACATTTTATTTTTCAGAACTGTTTAATGTAAACTGCTTCAACGGTATACTCAAATTACAGTACTGTCACCAACCTCCAAAATTAGCTTATTGGACCGTACTCCATTGAAAATATATGGCAGCTTCCTTTTTACACCAGTATTCAACACAGGCAAATTTGAAATACAGCTATTTAACTTTTTTCTTTTTTCATATTCATAAAACCTATGACCAGTGTTTGCTAATTTTCATTCATCCTTTAACAGTGAATAGGAACCAATCATAGGCTAGGGTGAAAGAGCTCAATTTAGACAGCTGGTTACTTGTTATTTTATATAGAATTTGCATGAGTCAGGTAGAAACAGTCTCATGACAGATCAGGAAGTTTTACCTAGAGTAAATCTTTAATATTTTCTGTCCCTTTCTTTTTTACTTATAACTTAAGTATATTTGGTGCACTAGTTATTATTTATTCTTCCTATTAAAAAGCACATAAAGAGAGATATATCCTGATTAGGTAGTTAAATGATTTTATTGACACCAACTATGACAGATATTACTAGGAACTCTAGTCCTGAGGACATAGAACGAAAAGGAAGTTAACAGAATGAAGAAATACAAAATGAAGAAATGGAATGAAGCCTCAAATAGCAAAGGCTGCTTACGTATTACCAGTATTCAGTTTTTGCTCACTTATAATAAGGCCCTGCTGTTAAAAACAAACAAATAAAAAAAACACCCCCCCCCACACACACACCCCTCTAAAGAGACTTCTTCCCAAGATTACCTAGCTTCAAGGATATTCTACTTGTTCTGGTAGAAGCACTGTGTAGAACCTAGGAGAGACAGGGCTTTGTGACTGGTAGTATTTTCTAAAGATTGCCAAAAACCAGTATCTCCCCAATGTTTTTCTTTCAGTACGACCTTGACATTCTTCCAACTGAGATGTGAGCTATGTTATATACTACATCTTGATGAATATAAGCATGTAACTTGCTTATAACCAAGCAATGCTGGAAATTTCACAGAATATATTAGATAATGTAATACAGTTTCTGTCTATTTGCTGGACAATTCACACTTGAAAGCCTGAGTTACCATGTAAGTCACACTAGCCTAAGATGACCATGTTGTGAGAAAGTCAAGCCATGAGTGTCCACATGTAGGCACTACCATCTGGTCTCCCCATACTATGACCTTTCCCAACTCAGATGAGAAAGGTGTGAATAAAGGAACCTTTAGATGATTCCAGCCCCCAACATCGAATGACTAGCCAGTATTTGAGTTTCCAGCAAAGACCCTGAGATATTATGTATTTGCTAAGAGTTGCTATGTGTGCTGCTGAGAAGAAAGTCTATTTAGTCATTGATGTATGAAATATTCTACATATCTTTTAAGTCTAATAATCAATTGTATTTTTTTTCTATAGCTTCTTTGTTTAGTTTTTGATTGGAGAATCTATCCAGTGGTGACAGAGGCATGTTAAAGTTACCCAGTATTGTATTGTGGTCTATGATTCTTGAAATTGAGAAGGGTTTGTTTGATGTACGTAGATGTTCCAGTGTTTAGGGTATAAATATTTATGATCATTACATACTGTTGATGTAGGATTCCCTTAAGCAGTATAAAAGTCCTTCTTTGTCTCTCTGATTAATTTTGGCTAGAAGTCTACTTTATCTGGTACAAGAATAGAAACCCCTGCCTGTTTATGAGATCCATGTGAATGATATGTTTTTTTCCATCCTTTTACCATCCTGTGGATGGTCTTTGCCTATAAGGTGAGTCTTGGGGAGGCAGCATATTGCTGGGTCTTGTTTTTAAATCCAATCTGCTGGCTTATGTCTTTTGATTGAAGAGTTTAGGTCTGCATTCAATGTTACTATTGAGAAATGATTTTTTATTCCCTATCATTTTGGTTTATTTCTGATTTTTAATTTGAATGTTTCTCTTTTGATGGACTATTCTTCTAGTGTAATTTCTTCTTTTGCTGGTTTTCACTTTTATTTTTTTGATGAAATATTTTAGTTCAAGCTTTCTAGCTGTGAATTCTTTTAACCTTTGTTTATCATGGAAGATTTTTATTTTATCAATACTGAAGCTTAATTTTGCTGGGTATAGTATTCTTGGTTGGCATCCATTTTCTTTCAGAGCTTGATATATATTATTTTAAGACCTCCAGCTTTAAGGGTCTGGGCTGAGAAATAAACTGAGATCTGGATTTATTTCCCTCTAAATGTGACCTGTCATTTTTCTCTGGCAGCCTTTAAAATTCTATTCTTATTCTATGTTAGACATTTTCATAACAATGTGTCTTGGAGTGGGTTTGTTGTAATTTTATATATTTAGAGACCTGTTAGATACCTGTATTTAATTTTCCACTTCATTCTTTAGGTTTGGGAAATTTTCTGATACTATTTCACAGAAAAGATTCCTTTGGTTTGTATCTCTGACCCTTCATCTATCCCAGTAAATCTTAAATTTGTTTTTTTCATGTTATTTCATATTTCTTGGAAGTTCTGTTCATGGTTTCCTCCACAGTCAACTTCATTTTCAAGATCATGTATTTTGAAATCATTACCTGAAACTCTTGTCTTCCAAGTGGGCTAGTCTGTTGGTGATCCTTTGCTTTGAATTTTTAATTTGGTTTATTGATTCCTTCATTTCGAGAATTTCTGCTTGATTTTTTTTTTCAGAATCTCTCTCTTTATAGATCTTTCACTTTCTGTATTTTCTGATTTTACCCCTTACCATTATCCTTTATGTTGCAGATGATTTTAACAATGGACATTCTAAACTCCTCTGACATTTTTTCTACTGTGGTGGATTCTGCTAAGGAAATATCGTTGGTTTGTTTGGGGCTATCTGTTCTTTTTTTTTTCACATGGTTTTTTGTGTCTATCCATCTAAAAGTATGGATCTGAGACAGCAGTTTCTAACCTGTGGATTTATAGTGTCCCTGAAGGTTTCCAGTATGTCATAAAGGGAGACGTTAAATAACAACCACCACCAATGCAAACAATATACAGCCTTAAACAAAACAGTCCTTGCTCTGACATATATAAAGTTAACTGTCACAATAAACAGAAATGATATGATCAATTATTGCCTACAGTAAAAACAATAAATTTGCAAAAGGGTTTATGACTTTGAATGGTGGACAGAAATAGAATACAAGTGATGTGGCATATTATGAGGGAAGAGGAGAAAAGACAGAAGAAAAAAAAATAAAAGGAAGAGTGAAAGAGATCAATAGAGATTGGCTGTTAGTAGAAGGAGAGAGAAAGAGAATCATGGGAAACATAAGTGAGAGAAAAAACATATGAAGTAAAAATTTTTAAAAATAAGAATACAAAAAAAACCCTGAAACATACTAATGAAATATCCTAATCTTCAAAATACTGATCCATGAAGATTAACTGGCTTCAAAAATGAGGAATAAAACCAAATATGATATGTGTAAGTGTCCATGAACCATTCAGGTCACAATTAAACAGAGAAAAGAAAAAAAAAATCTTGATGAAAAGTTAAAGAATTGTTTCTGTTGGAGTTCAAAAGATTTTCAGCTTCCCTTCTCAGTAGTGTTAGGTGGGGTCATCTAGAGTGATAGTTGCTCCACCCTCACGGTGGGGTTGATGGCGTTAGGTAATCTTATGAGCAGAACTCCTGGAGGAAGGGTTTAGGCTTAGGTAGGCTCCAGGTTCTTTGCTGAATGCCATTTGATCTGGAGATTTTAAATCAGTGCACCTCCAGGGCCCACCAACTGCCAGTCCATGCTGGAAGACTGCACCCCATGGATCTCCCTTAGGTTCAACTTGTGGGGTGGAGGAATTAATGTTTAGTTTACTTCGTCACGTGTGGACCAGGTCTCTCTCCAGTTCAGTTTCCAAATTCAACCTCTCCTACTCTTGCAAATTCCCAGCCAGGTATCTCTTTCCTAACTGGTCCTGGGAAGCAGCCAGACTGGATGGGGACAGGGAGAGCTGGGTGGGTTTCCACAACCAGTATTCCTTCTGTGTAAACCCCTGTCCACATCTGATTTTCTCCTGGTCACTTAGGCACACTCCATGTTGCACAGTGTGGGTTGTCAGGCCTCTGTTCTGGGCGAAACTGGGGCATGCCAGCAACTGGTTCGCCCAGCTGCAGGCCCCTATACTACAGCTGCAAAATGGGTAAACTAACACCTGTTGTTTTATGTGTTTAATTTTTTTTTTTACACAACAATATGAAACAAACTTACAGCAGTACAAACTCAAAAAACTTCATAAAATAACCTTTGAAACTAGTTATCCATATGTGTGAAGGTGATAGGCAAGTTTTCTGAATATTGACCTCCTAATGTTGGGCAGCCTGCAAAGTTAGGAGCACAGTGATAAAAGTGAAGGTTTTTCTTTAAAATTTTCTTTAAAAAAATATCTTCAAGGGTCAATATTAACTATTGCAATTATATTTGAAAGTTATGGGTTTTATCTTTTCTTCTCATCTCAATCACAGTTCTTTAGCAATGGGAAAATATTTTATTAGTTCCTAATTCTCTATTTTAGCTTGTTGGTTATGTTGAAAACTTCCTTTGCTTTTGTATGGAGACGGAACCCTGAATTGATAGTCATTTAAATAAATAAAGACCCATTTATTCTATCATTAATCTGCCTTATTGAAAAGTTTTTTTTTAAATAAAAGGTATAAATCAGAACGCCACTACATTAAAAAACAAAGTGAAATATAAACCAATTAAAGCTCTGGTTTCAGAATAATTGATCTGAAGCCTTTTGTAACTATAACTAAAGAGTAGGCCTTCTTCATAAACAGATGAGTTATTACCTTTAGACCTTCTGGTGTTTGCACTGCTGTGGTGTTTAGGGAATACTGTTTTACTTCTTGCTATAATTTGAATATAGATGGTGTCTCCCAAAATCCATGTGTTAAAAGGCTTGGTCCCCAGAATGGTGCTATTAGGAGGTGCTATGGACCTTTAGAAGGTAGGGCCTTATGGGAGAAAGGTTATTTAGGTCATTGGGATGTACCCTCAAAGGAGATGATAGAACCCCAATCTCCTCCTTTATTAGCTTGCTGGCTCATGAAGAAACCCCAATCTCTTCCTCTTTTTCTGTTTCCTTGCTCCACCATGTATATCCTATTCTCCCCACAAATGCATCTTGTGCTTTTACCACTCAATCTTGAACTGGAACCAACAGAATTCTAGGTTAAATAAACCTTTCTCTTTCTAAAGAAAATTGCCTCGGTATTTCATTAGAGTAATAGAAGGCTAAGTAACATACTTCCAAAATTGATGGATATCTTTTCATTTTTTTTTTAGAGGGTGTCTTTTAGACTGTTGTGCTGCTATAACAAAATACCACAAATTACTGGCTTATAAACAATAGAAATTTATTTCTTATGGTTCTGGAGGCTGAGAAGTTTATGATCAAAGTGGCAACAGATTTGGAGTTTGATGGGGACGTACTTCCTTGTTCACCAAATGATACCTTTTAGTTTGTGCCCATGAATACTGGATGGGGCAAGGCAGCTCTCTGGAGTCTCTCTGATAAGGGACTAATCTCATTTATGAAGGCTTGTCCCTCATGATTAACCTCCTAAAGGCACCATCTCCAAATACTATCACTTTAGGGGTTTGGATTTCAACATATAAACTGAGGGGAGAGGTTGAGGGGAGAGAACACAAACATTAGACTACACTAATGGGGGAATGGGCAAGGAAAGGGAAGAAATCTCAAAGGGGAAAGGAATTTTATATTCAAATCTACTTGAGAGTATGAGGATTTTTAAAGCTTTTTACTCCCAGTTTTCCCAAGAGTAAAATAGATAATATGTCAGGAAGAATTTATATTTACTTGACAATATGTGGTTCTAAGACACTGGAGTTCCTTCTACTTTTAATTATTTCTATAATTGGTCATTTAAAAACAAAATACAAATTATAATCAAAATATTCCCTTATAAACAATACCTTCAGTAGGTTATAGAGGTTTCAGGCCATAAGAGAAAAAATTCACAATACCTGATAAAATGTTTTGAGCCACTTTCTCACTCCATTCAGGCAATTCTTTTGCTTTTTCTTCTGAAACAGGCTCACAGGGTACAATGTGACTCAGATTAATTTCTTCATTTGAAGTATCTTTAGTCTAAATAGTAAAATATTTTAAAATGTGAAAGTTATCTAAGTAGTAGAGGGAACAATTATTATTTTATAAAATACTGAGCCAACAAATACTAGATAGATATAATTAGTAAAAAATATCTCCAGTCAGCCTAGTTATTGAAAGTATTATAGAATACTATAATGGAACAGTGTTTTGGTGCACACCTGTAATTGTAGCTATTCAGGAGTCTGAGGAAGGAGGACTCCAAGTTTAAGGCCAGTCTGGATGACATCAGTGAGACCATGTCTCAGAATAAAAAAGGCTAGGAATGTAACTTAGTGGTAGAGTACTTTCCTAGCATGTGCCATGGCCTGGGCTTAATCCCCAGCACTGGCAAAAATAATAATAGTAGAAATAATAATACCAGAATTGTTATGAAGCTGAAAATTGTTCTGCTCTTGTGAATGTTTCCACTGGAAAGAACTAAATACTATTAGAACTCTAAAACACCACTTATCAAACAATATTTAAATTGACTAATTTTTTTCTTTCTTTGACCAGATTCTGGGTTCCTTCACACAAATTTCATTCTTACATATTAGTACGAACATATGGTATTTTAGAGTAAAAGCTTTCTGCTAAGTGATTCAATTGATAAGGAAAGAACTTTCTGAATAAACTGGTTTTGGTAGGGATCAAATAAAAGTCTTAATTTAAACAAGTAAAAATATATAAACATAGAATGACCTGACCTTCCATTTAAATGGAAATGGGGAGCATAGAAATTAATGTGCTTTGCTAATATAACAGCCCATTGCTACAATAGCTAGGGCCAACCCCCAAATCTCAAAGCCAAATTAACTCACTGTAAGAAATGAGAAACGAGGAACATGTTAACATAGACCTCACAGTATTACAAAACAACTTGAAAAAATAAAATTGAAAACAACCAAAAAACAAATTCTACATGGAGGAGAAAAACCACTTGTAAGTAAAATCTGAAGACAAACTGGGTAAAATATTTGCAATTTCTATCTTCAACTATGGGTCAATATCCCTAATATATAAAGAACTCCTGAAAACTGAGAAAAGATTAACAAACCAATAATAAAAATGAAGTACTTGAATAACAATACGCAGAAAACAAAACTGAAGGCCCTTTTAAGCACAGATGCTCAATAACATTCAAAATTGAATTAAGATATTCTATTATATCATTTCTCGTCTATCAGACTACCAAATACAGAAAGACTGACCACCTACCAGTCTGTTGACCAGGCTATAAGGAAATAGGTACACTATTCCCTCCTTATTTTTGGAAGATATGTTTCAAAACACCCAGTGGATGCCTGAAACCACACATATAGCACTGAATCCTACAAATACTATTTTTTTCTATACATATATACCTATGGTAAAGTTTAACCTATTAATTAGGTGCAGTTAGAAATATATTTTGTGACAGCAAAACTAGCATAAATTTTTGTTCTTTTCATAATATCACAGAAAATTTATTCTTACCATAGATCTTAGAAACTTTGTATTTGACTTTTTTCCCCCTCCTTTTTACCTGAAGGAAGTACTTTATAGCTTCTCCTTGGCACCCACCTTTGCTCTTATGTGTTGGGGGAATTATTAGGTAAAATAAAAATTATTTGAATCCAACCACTGCAATCCTGCAACAGTCCATCTGATAAATAAGATGGCTACAAACTAACTAAAGGAGAGATAGCATACACAGTTCAGACACACTTGCCAAAAAGATAATTCATGTCTCTGAAAGCATGGAGCAAGACAGACATAAGATTTCATCAAGCTACTCAGAATGGTGCCTAATTTAAACATATTACTTCTGGAATTTTCCATAATACTTTCAGTCCGGTTGATCACAAGTAATCAAAACCACCAATGTGTGTGTGACTGCTGTACTGTAGTACAATCCTAGGAGGGCATTTTATAAAAATCTACCAAAATTACAAATGCATTTATCTTTTGACTCAATTTTCCAACTTCTAAGAATTTATCCAATTACTTACACACTAATGAATAAACAGATTTAGAAAGTTATTCATTGAAGCCTTATTTGTAATAGCAAAATATCAGAATCATGCAAAGCACTTCTCAACAAGAGATTCATTAAAGAATCTATAATATATTCACAGAATGAATATAAGGATTAAGGAAGTTTTCTATTTACTGAAATGGAACAATATCTCAAGTTTACCTCCAAAGGAAAAAACAAAAACAAAAATCCCCTCACAGGAAAATCTATTCTATTTTGTAAAAGTAAAAAAAAGGGGGTGGGGGTGGGGTAGGGTATGGATTAACCATTTGTACTTGGTTTTGTCTGCCTCAAGAAACTCCGGAAAGATATATAAGATAAAAATAAAAGTGATTATAGTGGCAGGGGAAATGGTGTGGACAGGGAAAAGATGATGTAAAAGTAAAGCTGTTTAACTGTATATTCCTTTTTAATATCATTTGATTTTTCTAACACAGAAATATTACAAAAAATGAACATCTAATGATATGGAACAATTTCCAAATATACTGTTAAATATACAAGGAAGAAGCAATGCCAAAATTTATGTTAAAATAATATCTGTGTGTATATTTGTTTGACTATGCATAAAATATAATCTGGAAGGAAAATAAGCTACTAACAATGTGAAGAGTGGAGATAGGTGACTGGTGGACAGGAATGAGAGGCCAACTTACTATTCACTATATATCCTTTTATACCCTTTGATTTGGTTTCTTGGGATTAGCTTATTTTAAAAAATCTTTAAAATTAAAATAAATGTCTTGGAATCATTTTAGACTCCCAGAGTGATTATAGTGGCAGGGGAAATGGTGGTCTAAGATGTTCAACATTAGTCATAGTGACACTTTCTGAGTAAATGTGGACTATTCATGTGATATTCATTAATTCCAAAGAAAATTAACAAGCAATGACCATGAACAATACAGCAACGAACAACAGTGAACTGCCTGCAATACATAAACATACAATACTGTTTTCTTCATTGATTTACTTATATTACTATTCCTGCCTGGAATCTCTTTCAGTGTGCTACCATACTGTATGGTCAACTTTTCTTTATCATTCAAGAGTCCCCTTGGTCATGATGTCCTCTAGGATGAGGTTCCCATACCACCCATCCCATCTATCCACACTTACCTATAAGATTAGGCTGAATCTTGTAATGATCGCATTAGATAAAAATTATTTCTTTGCTTATCTGTGCTTTCAACTATATAACTCCTTGAGATAAGAAATTTATACTTTTTCCAATACATATGCCCACTATTCTAATACTCAGTAATTTACTGAATTCTAATCCAAATATGCCATTTAAAGTATATTTAATAATCAGAACCTGAACAATTAGAGAAGAAACTACTAAATATACTTTTAAGAAACCAAATCTCAGCTTTGTTTGCCCATCCATGAAAAATAAGGAACTAATAAAAATGGTAAGAGTGCAAGAAAGAGTAGCATACCCAGCCCTAAGTTCTTGGTAAATACAGGAAAGTAGAGAACAATCTAAAACAAAAAGCAAGCACATCATTAATGATTAATTATTCAAATCTTTCAAGTATTGGAGAAAAACTATTCCCAAACACAGAATACCTTTTAAGATAGTTTAAGGAACAAATACTTGGTAAGAGAAATATTAAAGCTGATTTTAAGTGTCTTTGCTAATGAAATCTGCATAAGTGAATGTGTTTCAGTAAATGTGAAACTCATGAAACTGGCGAAAGGTACCATCAGAAAAGAACATACCCACTCTCTTTTGCTCTTTCATTTACCTTTTTTCCACGTTTTCCTCTATGACGCATATCCTTGTTGCCTTGGTCTAATGAAGTGGCAGAAGCTTCTTCCTTCAATTGGTCAGAGGGGCATCTTGCTCTTCCAGGGATTTGGAATTCATTTTCCCCTTCTGCCGTTTGCCAGTTGGCCTAGGTCATAAAGGACTAACCTTAGCTCAAATCAGACTTAACTTTTGTTTTTGGTTCTTTTCTCTATCATTGATTTTTATTTCCCATATTTTTTTATTGGTACATTATAATCATACACAATGATGGGACTCACTGTTACATATTCAGACATGCACACAATATAACAACATAATTTAGCCAATATCATTCCCCAGTATTTCCCCTTTCTCTCCACTCCTCCAATCCTCTGGTCCCTTCCTCCACTTTTTTCATGAGATTTCCCCTCCACCTTTCTTTTCCTTTTCCTCTCTGGCTTCCACATACAAGAAGAAACAGACAACTCTCGACTTTCTGAGTTTGGATTATTTAGCTTAACATAATGTTCTCAAGTTCCTTTCATTTTCCTGCAAGTGACAAAATGTCATTCTTTATGACTGAATAAAACTCCACTATGTATGTACATAACATTTTCTTTATCTATTCACCCACTGACAGACATCTAGGCTGGTTCTATGGTTTGACTGTTGTGAATTGTGCTGCTCATGGCAATTCATGAACCACTATGGTTCGCTTACTTTAATTCTTTAGGATAAAGCTATACCAAGGAGTGGTATAGCTGGGTCATATGGTGGTTCCATTATTGGTCTTTTGAGGAACCTGCATACTTATTTCCAAAGTGGTTATACTAATTTATAATCCCACCAAATGTGTAAATGTGTTCCATTTTCTTGATATCCTCTCTAGCATCAATTATTGTTTGTATTCCTGAGGGCTGCCATTCTAATTGGAGATGAATCTCAGTGAAGTTTTGATTTTAATTTCCCTAACTGCTAAGGAAGCTGAAGATATTTTCATATTTATTTATTAGCCATTAGTATTTCTTTTGAGAAGTGTCTATTTTGTCCACTTGCCTATTTACTAATTTTTTTCCATATTTTTTGAGTTCTTTATATATTTCGGATTTTACTCCTCTGTCAGAATAAGAGCTAGCAAAGATTTTCTCTCATTCAGTAGCTTTTCTCTTTATATTCCTGCTAGATTGCTGTACAGAAGTTTTTTTAATTTGATGCAATCCCAATTAATAATTTCCGATTATTATTTCCTGAGCTTGATGGATCCTACTGGGAAAGCTGTTGTCTGTGCCTATATGTTGGATTGTTGACCCTACATTTTCTTCTAGGAGTGGCATAGTTTCTCTTTTAATTCCTAGGTCTTTGATCCATTTTGAGTTGACTTTTGTATAGGGTGAAAGATAAGAATCTAGTCTCATTCTTCTACATATGGATAACCAGTTTTACTAACACCATTTGTTAAAAAGATGACTTTCCTCCAGATGCATTAGATCATACTCTCATGATACAATTATGCAAAAATCAGTGTTTGACAGTCTATAAACAACTATTTTTCTCTTCCCTAAACTTTTTTACCTCATCATCAAACCTCAAATCCCTAATGTTGTTTACACATATAATCTATAATAAATTTCAAAAAACAAAGCATAATGGTAACAGATTTTAGTATGTTATCTTTAAATCAGATATGATAATTATATTTAATTAGGTAACCAATAATAAATTTTAGGAAATATATACAAGACTAAAATTGAGTTTAAAGTCAATTAACAAAACTCATGTCCACTCTTCATTGTTAAAAGCTGACTTTTTTATTTTCTGCATTTAATATAACAGGTATTCTATCAGCATACACCTTGCTGAATGAATGCTTTAAAGTCAAAACAAATAAAAATTATGGCTATTACCTTTTGTTTACAGTTGAGGTTCTGGAACAATATAGCAAAGTAAAAATAATATACAACCAAAAACTAAAATCAGAGAAAATTACATATGCTATAACATAAAGTCTATTTAATTTCTTTTCAAAAGCACAGTAATATAAGTACAGCTCATTTTCTTGAGTTTGTAAATTCTTCCGCATGAACACACCAAGGCTACACATTTCTATACAAGTGATCATGTGTTTGCTAACATATATTAAGAAACTATTGGTTATTCTTAAGTACTGCCCTTGATCACCAGGTCATTCTCAGGTACCTGAGAATAGGTGTTAAATATGTACATACACACATATATATATATGTACATACACACACGTATACATATACACACATATATCACACAAACACACACATATATATCTTTCTATTTGTCCTGTTCACTTCCCATCTCACCATTTAATAAAAAAACAGGTTAAATAATGGATTACAAATGTCTGCTGACCAAAGGGAAGAACAAAAAATTATGCTACCAGGCTGTTAAATGCAATCAATCAATCCCGGATAACTGTCAACATTCATAATAAAAAAATATTTTTCCCCTCTTGGCAAACAGTAGATGAGCAAAAACATTGGAAAAACCTCAGATGAATCTATTTCAACCTTCCAATGAAAGGTAAGTATGTGGGCAGAAGAAACAGATTAAATAAGGAAACTTCACAGGATGATCATATTTTAAATCACATGTTCTTTTCTTTTTATTTGGCCTTCACTTACCATGAGAACAAAGACAATTTACTCAATTGATACCTATTTCTAAAACACCAATCAGATGTCTTATGTCCAACAACTTATCAGCTAAGGCTAAAATTACCTTAATTTCATTTGGTACCAATTAGTCCATTTTTCCAACCAAGCAATAACATAGCAAAGGAAACAATAGCTAACATTCACAGAGCATAACCACTTGCTACCATTAATATAAATGCTTTAAAGTTTACCACAGCCCCATGAAGTTTAAAACATACTGTTTGCCAAGAGGGGTAAAATATTTTTTATTATGAATGTTGACAGTTATCTGGGATTGATTGCACTTAACATCTCCATTTTATGGAAAGAGGACATTAAAGTCCATATAAGCTCAGTGAGAGCTGAGTTAAAGAAATATTAAGTGGAAAAATGTGAATTCCACAATCTTATCCACTATTTACAGCAAATTCCCAGCATGAAATTATGAACACAGAGAAAAATATATATTCTTATCTTCTAACTCTTATCACATCAGATGTTGTAATAATTTCTTTAAAAGCAGAAGTGCTTATGTTAAAACAGATTTTTTTACCCTAATGACTATAATACAAATTACCTGGAGCCGAAGATCAGACATTTGTCTTAACAGATCCTCAAAGAGTTCTCTATCATCTTCTGGTAACTCAGAAGACAAGACAACTCCCACAAAGCAACCTGCTGCTTGTAACATTGTATCAGGAAACATATAGGCACCTACAGTACATTTCAGAACTGGGGATCTATCAGGAACCAGAGGGTACAACCAGTCACAAACCTGAAAGAATTAGGTAAAAAAAAATATATATCAATAAATGGAATAGATTTTCATCTATGTTATAATAAAATTGTTATAAAAGAAACATTTTAAAATCTAAAACACATTTTAAAAGATTTTATAGAACCATCAACATCAATAAATATCTAATGAAAATTAATCATTTGCTAATCTGATGTTCCTGCAAGAAAACTTTAAAAATGCTATTGCTCCCCTAATAATGGTTTTAAAACTGATGGCCTTAAATAGTCCAGTGCTACCAATATGCTTCTAGCTTTAAATGTAAGAATCAAAGTGAATTAATTATTCAAATTAGACATCCCTTTGTGGAAATGTACAAACTCAAATTGTTTTCCAGTACTACACATGTTATTTACTAATTTAAAACAATCCTATGAAATTGGTATTTAATGATAACATGAAAATATAAAAACTGTACATATTAACAGGGTACCATATAATATCTCAATACACATATACCCTGCACAATGTTCAAATCAGGTTAAACATTTATTTCCTCAAACATTTATCATTCTTTGTGCTCAAAACTTTCAAAATCCTTTCTTCTAGCTTTTTGCAATGTACATTATATTATTATCTGTAGTTACCCTACAATGCAATAGCATACCAGAATTTCTTGCTCCTAACTATAATTTGGTACCCATTGATCAATCCTACCTCATCCCTCTCCCAACTTCACCCTCATTTGCAGCCCTCTGGTTACCACCATTCAACTTCCATGAGATCAACATTTTTAGATTCCACATCAGGGAAATCCTGGTTCCTGTCTTTCTGTGCTTGGCTTATTTCACTTCACTTAATGACCTCTAGGTTCCATCAATACTGACACAAATGACAGGGTTTCATTCTTTTTTTCAGTGAATAGTATTACATTGTGCATATATACTATATGTTATCAATTCATCAACTGATAGGCACTTAGTTTTTATTTCAAAGCAGTTAGTATTATAATTTTTTTGCACATTGACACTGAAGCACAAACAGGTTAACTAATTTGCTAAGGGTCAACAATTAAAAAGTGAAGGTAGGATTTGAGATCATGCAGTCTGAATCAGAAAAGAAAAGAACTGTTTTAATTAAAAACAACCTAGCACTCATAATGTAAAATATTTTTTCTTTTTTTTTAAACCCCAAGAGAACCTACCATGACAGAGCTAGAAGAGATTAAGATATGTTTGTGTACTCACTATGTATTATGAAACTAAGACAAAATAACACAAAGTGCTCCTGCAATGCCATCTGGGGAGGGCAGTTTATCAATACACTTAAATTCAAATCATGGCTATCTAAATTCACGAGATTAATTTTAAATCAGAATTTCCAAATGCATTCATTTCTAATATGTTAAGATTCTTTCAGTAACCAAAATTTTATTGTGCACAACTTCCAGAACACTATTATCATAAAGAAAATTGGAAAGCCAATTTATTAAAACAATGTGTAATGAATGTAAGTCAAAGAGCATGAGAAATTTCATATGAAAGATGGAAAACTCTGCTATACTACCATCATCTCTAACCAACAAAATAAAAACATGCAAGAACTAGAATACTCAAGTGACTCCTAGAAAGTGCCTAATAAGCACTTTAAAATTCTTTTTCTTTTACATATTCTTTTCTATTCATCCCAAAAGTCACTTCTTTTATAAAAGTCAAACTTCAGTCAGCTACAAAACAAGTACAGTCTTCCAAAATGATGTTGGGTAATTCACAAACTCTTAATATCTGAGTAGTTATGTATTTTAATATGTACCAAGAAAAAAAAATCCTTTCCTTAATTTCAGTTGTTACTGGTTTGATGAAATTAACAAGTGAAAATAAAAATATTAACAAAGTAATAGGATTATAATTTTGACAAAAAAATTGTAGATTATTGTAAAATGACCAAAGTTTGTGAAAATCTGTATGTACTTTACTACAATTTCTTTAAAATTCATTGTCACCTTGACTATTTGAACTGGATATCCCCAATTCTTTCTAAGAAAAACCCTTAAGGGGTTGGGGCAACTTTCAATAACATCAGTTATAACATACCAGTTTTCTAAGTGAAGATAATTCAATCCAGATGAGATTTAGTCTCAATGGTGGAAAAACAGTCAAGAGATTTTGGGGGTGGGGAGAATTCTAAAAAATTCTAGCAATTAACTCTTCATCATTATATTTTGGCAACTAATTTCTCCTGAATTAAAAAATATTAATTTCTTAATAACTTCTAGGTTCTTTAAACAACATTCAAGTTAACTCCATGTAAAAGCTACATATCTTTAAAAAAGAACTTAGTATACATTAGAAAAAAATAGTGCTATAACTAAGCCACATAATCTGAACTTTGGATGAAAATACTTTGCTTAAATAGTGATTTCTCATTGATGCAAACTCCTTTGTTATACTCAATGTATAACAAGTTCTTATTTCAAGAGTCTATCTCCCTTGTTTCTACATGCAACCTTTTAAAGCAGATTGTATTGAACTATCACATTCAGAATACCTCACTAAATCCACAACAATGCCTCAAACATTAACTATTATTTAGTGGCAGTCTTTGCACTTGGACCAACTACATTCTGGTAAACTCATCTGTAGTTTCTAACTTTATGTTAGATTTTGGGCTGGATCTTTTTTTTTTTTTTTTTAATGCTTACAGTAGCCGTCCTGTGTAGATGTTTGGCAACATCCCTATCCTTAACCACGATGCTGGCAGCAACCACTTTCTAGCTGCAATAACTGAAAATGTCTGCAGATGTACTCAAAAGTTTCCTGGAGGGACAAAATTGCTCCTAGTTGAGAACTACTACTCTAGACAGTGCTGATTCTAGCCCAGTTCAGACGCTCAGCTGGGTCTGATAACATTTGTGGACATTTACAATTACACAGCCACATGAATTACATACATAACTTGTATATATTACATAACTTGAAATTAAAGTTACTAGGTAACTCCAGGTAAAGAATTAAAAACTTAAGAATAAACACTCTGATGTTCCTTAGGTCCTATCATCACAAATACCAAAACAAGACCTCATTATCTTAAAAAAAGAAAAAAAGAAAGAAAGGAAAAGAAAATCAAACAGAAATGTAGATGTTCAAAGCTCATAAATACATTTAAGAAGTAGAACTTAAATATTTTTTCACTTGTCTTACAATCCTAAACACATTATAAATGTTGTCAAAAATGATGCAAAGATGTCATTTTATATAAATGATATGTAGATGTCTAAATATATTTGAAATTATGTTTTATGTTTTCCTTTGACTTACCTGAAGAAACCCAGGAGGACGGTTTAGAACTGTATCAAGAGAATTATCCAAGAATCTCACAATTCGAAGGTACCCAGGATATGAAGGTGCACTAACCTCCCCTGCAGGATTTACAAAAAAAATCTGTACTCCATTTGGTATCAAAATCAACTCGTCTGCATCTAGCCCTAAGGTCTCAAGAGGAGGTGGCTGAGAATGATTCCTATAGAAGTCTTCTCCCACTGACGAAAACTCCCCAGAATCTGTTCCATAGGACACAGTGTAGTGACCCTCTGCAGCCTGAGGGGTATAAGCAGGAGGAGCTTCTGATGGACAGCCTGGAGATGGCAAGGACAAAGAAGGTGTAGCCACCAACCCTGCACTTAAGGCTGAAGTGTTTCCATCTACTTCAGCATGCTGAGGAGGTAAATTAAAGGACTGAGGCTCTGGTGACTTTTCACATATGTCTTTAGGTGGAAATTCTGGATATAACTTAGGTACCTCCTGAAGGTCATTCCGCAGAGAAGTAGCAAGGCCCTTCTCTAGAATTTCTAACCTCGTGCGTACATTCTGTAGTGTTTCTTTCATTTTCTGTTGCATTTGTCTAGCAGATTCCCACTCAGGGCCTGTGTGTTCAGCTTCAGTTGATACAATGCTGATTCCCCTGAGCAGGTGTCCTATTCCTTGTTTATAGTAGTTCTTTGCTTCTTCCTTCTGACCTAATTCATCTGTATTCAGTCCTTTATTAACAAATAAAAAGGCTTTTTTATATGCTTCCTTGATGATCTTGATTTCAGCAGGTTCTCCATCTTGTGGCTCTTGCTCCATAACTGCAAAATAGAAAACATTCGTAATTATCTTGCTTAACTGTTTACTTCTCTAGTATCCACCTCATCTACCTGAATATATTTAAAGAGGACAGTTTTCTCTGTCTTGTTCACTATGGCATCCCCTAAGCTTACTTTTAGTTTTGACACAGAAAAAGCATTCAATATATAGCTGATGAACAGATAAAGGCTCTTGGGTCCAAATATCTTATTAATTAAAAAACAGAATAGAATACATCAAAATACGTCTATTAAGTAATTTTTTGTTCCTGTTTCTTACAATAAATGAAATAGTTCTCTATGTCAAAATTTAGCATTGGAACAAAAGAATCTCATTCTGAAATTCATTGTTAATATAAATCCAGATTATCTCTAGCTAATAAAAAATGAGTTGAATCATACTTTATAAAGGACAAATGAGAAAAATTTCAATTATGTATAGTTAGCATTATTCCCTCCCCAAACCTTACTGACTTTAAAGATTATTAAAATAGCATGCCTATTTTTCATAATGAGAAAAAGACATTAACAGGCATTTCTCTCTCTCTCTCTCTCTCTCACACACACACACACACACACACACACACACACAAAGACTCAAAAGCCACGTGAAAAGGTGTTCAACACATTATTTCTCAGGAAAATAAAACTAAAATCCACAGTGATCTTCAGATGGCAAAAATTTAAAAACTGTTAGAAAAACATAAATGAAGAGCTGGGAATATAGCCCAGCTGGTAGAGTGCTCGCATGCACAAGGCCCTGGGTTCAAACTCCAGCACCACAAAAAAAAAGAAAGAAAGAAACTTTGCTGCTGGAAAAAAATGGCACACCACTTTGGAAAATGGGCAATTTTTATTAAAGCTGAACATTCATTTACTCTATGACCCAGCAATTCCATTTGCAGGTAGGGGTGTGTGTGTGTGTGTGTGTGTGTGTGTGTGCGCGCATATATGTGTGTGCACCAAAAATATGTACAGTTCTCCCTAATCTGCAGATTCATTTTCCATGGTTTAAGTTACATAAGGTTAACCATGTTCTGAAAATATTAAATGGAAAACTCCAGAAAGAATTCATAAGTTTTAAACTGTGCACTGTTTTGAGTAGTGTTACAAAATCTCACTCCAACCCACCAAGAATGTGAATAATCTCCCTGGCCAGCATATCCATGTATTTGCCCATCATTTAGTAGCCATCCTGGTTATCAGATCAACCTCAGTACTATAGTGCTTGTATTCAAGTAACTCTTATTTTACTTAATAATGGCCCCAAAGCACAAAGCAGTTGTGTTGGTAAAAATTTGGCTGTTTCAAAAAGAAGCTGTAAAAGTGCTTAATATAAGTGAAAAAGTTCCCAACTTAATAAACAAAAAAAATCAATGTTGAGATTGCTAAGATCTATGGTAATAATGAATCTTCTTCTATCTACGCAATTATAAAGAAGGAAAAAGATATTCATGCCAGTATGACTGTCATACCTCTAAATTCAAAAGTTACAGCTACAATGTGCAATAAGTGCTGAGTTAAGACAGAAAAATCATTAAATTTATGGGTGGAAGACATGAACACAATGTGTTCTGACTAATTGGCAGTGTGTTGCAATAGAAAGCACTGAGTCTATAGAAAGACTTAGTAAGTCTTGCTATAGCAAGGGATTCCCTAAAAAAATATATATATATCAAAAATCACTTAATGCAAATAAGGAGTAGTTACACAGATTCAACATTAGCTTTGGGCCAAACTGCATGTGCTGATGAGAAATTGCTGCTACAAAGAGTTGAAGAAGTCAATTAAGGAAAATGGGATACCATCCAACACAATTCTTCAACTGCAATGAAACCACTCTGTTTTTTTGTTTGTTTGATTTATTTATTTATTTTTTGACGGGGAGGGTTCCAGGGATTGAACTCAGGGGCACTCAACCACTGAGCCACATCCCCAGCCCTACTTTGTATTTTATTTAGAGACAGGGTCTCACTGAGTTAATTAGCACCTCACTTTTGCTGAGGCTGGCTTTGAACTCTCAATCCTCCTGTCTCAGCCTCCTGAGCCACTGGTATCACAGACATGGGCCACTGCACCTGGTGAAACCACTTTCTTCTTGAAGAAGTCCTACAAGTGCAAAGGAAGCACCATGGCATAAAATATGGAAGGCCATACAAAAATTTCTAATTACATATTCTTCTGAACAGTCTCAGTAAAAGACCACCTGGACTACCAAGGACCCTAAACATGGATGTCATCAACTCCTGACATCCAATAATCAACATAGTCATGATTCAATGGTCCAGGATCACCCAAAGCAGAGGATACATCTAGAGTCTATCAATACATCAGAACTTAAATAGTAGCCTAATAATACCACATTAAATGCCTATGTCATTCATCTCATCACACAGACAATGTACCATCTCACATCAACAAAAGGGTGAATAAACTGCACTGTATTTTAAGAAAGACCACATTCATATAACTTTTATCAAGATATATTATAATTCTGCTATTTTATTATCATTTGTTAATTTCTTATTATGCCTAAGTTTTAAGTTAACTTTATCACAGACATATATGTATAGAAAAAATAATGTATATATAGAGTTCAGTATCATCCATGACAACAAGCATCCATGTAGGGTCTTAGAAAATATCTCCCTTGAATAAGTCTGTGTGTCTATCTCTGTGTGTATATACACACACATGCAAGTCAAGTATCACAAAATGTGAGGAAAACTTCTAACATTAAACATAAAAATGAAAATGATGCATTTGGATGAAAAGAACGACATGCAGGGAAAAAATTAAACCCTATCATTTATAACAACATGCAGAAATACTGAATCCATAAAATAAAGATGAAAATGCCTCCAAAAGAGGGAGTGTTTGAAAATTAAATAAAAATATAGCCAGAAAGAAAAAATCAGTAGAGGAATAAAAAAATAAAGATTATAGGCTGGGAGTGGTGGCACCGTAATTCAAGCTACTTTGGAGGCTGAGGAAGATCATGAGTTCAAGGCCAGCCTAGACAATTTAGTAAGAGCCTGTCTCAAAAAATAAAAGGAGCTGGAGATATAGCTCAGTGGCAGAGCAACTCTGGGTTCTCTCCCCAGTACTAAACAAATAAAAAAAGGTTATAAAATCATGAAAAAATGTCCAGGAAGCAGAGCAAAGGGATTTAAAAAAGAAAGAAAAAATAGGTAAGAAAATCCAGAAAGTTCAACATCTGAAAACTAAAACTTTCAGAAAAAAAGAATAGCCAAAAAAATAAGGGATGAAAGAGTAGTATAAATAATTCACAGAATTTACCGTAACTGGAAAACATAAATTTCCAGATTTAAAAAGACCCATAAGGATGAAAAAAGATTCACATCAAGGAACATACAATAAAATTTCAGAAAACTGGGCTCAAAGGGACCCTCTTAAAAGGCTTAAAAAAGGAAAAATAAGAGTATTAAGGAACTTCCTCAAGGCAACAAGTATAATTTAAAATAAAATGGTAAAATTTATTCATAATTCTTAGTAAAAATACTTCCAAGCCCAGCCAAATGACTGCCCAGCTACTAGATCCTCTTTCTGGGATTTCATGTTTGGAGAAAGGTATCCCAACCAAGACTCATGATGGAAAATTCTCAAGATGCAACCTATTCAGATTAGGGTAGAAATAACTCCAGAAAAGATTTCTTCAAGAAACTAAAATTGACAGAAGACTTAATATACTTTTAATTTCTGAGAATAATAGAATTAATTGTAAGAGGATTCAAAGTTTACTTTGTGACAAATACATGGATAATTAAGGAAATAATTATCAAGACAATTATTAACTCCGGGGAAAACAAGATGACTAAACTAGAAACAAAAAGTAACCATTGGATATTACATTCCAGTTTTGATTAGTGTCATAATAACGAGAATGTGAATAATTCAAGATAATAATTCATAATAATGTGAATCTTGATGAATCTTGATGTTAGCAAAATTATGGAAGAACCAGTTTGAAAGATGGAATATGGATAGATAGAAAGTTTATGTGCTTGTGGTATAGAACAATAGGGCTAAAACTTACCAAGGCCCTAGTGAGAACCTATTTCTAAATTTAAAATATCTAAAAGGCTGGGGATGTGACTCAGTGGGTGAGGACCCCTGAGTTCAAACCCCAGTACCCACCCTCCTAAAAAACAAAAGAACCCTGATAATCCCCTTTCCCTGGAATTACACTTATTGCTGTGTCATCAAAATGTCTTCCCTTTACACAGACCCAAACCCCCTCTTCCTTCCAAAAACACGGGAAAACATTCTACATTCTACCTCCCTTAAGGTGCAAGAAAGATAAGAGTAAGAGAATATCAAGAAAGCAGGGGCCTATCATATTCCTAAGTAGTTATTGAGTATCTTGAAAAGGTAAAAAATGATTTCACATGCTTTAATTTTCAGTGTTGGAAAAGTCTTTGAAATGTCAACCTAAGGTATTAGAGTACCTTCACAGTATAATAGTCATATGACAAATCAAAATCTATTACCAAATACTATGATAAACTTGTTGTATTATTTAAACCTTCTAATAAAAGAAGTAAAAAAGGCATTTAATTTCACATATAACTATATGTATATGCTTTAAAAACCCCTCGCGCTTGCAGAGGTAAAACTCTGAACCAAAATACTTGGCAACTTAATTCAATCCCATAAATAATGAAGGTAGTAAACAATTATGTTTAACAAGCAAAATCGCCAAATAGTTTTTAATACAGCATTTAATCTCCCTAGAGCTAGCAGAAGTTAGTCTAATGTCTGCCTGCCTGCCAGCCAATCCGGCCCTTTTAAAAAGAAACAGGGTTTTTTTCTTTAAAATTTACTTTTTATTATTTAAATTATATATTGACAAATCAGTTGTATGTGTTTATGGGGTATGAAGTGATGGTATATTTGGGTTTTTAATATGGAATGATTAAATCTAATTTATCAATCACCTCAAATATTTGATATTTTTTGAAATGAAAACATTTGAGGCTTTATCTGATATTGAAATGTACAACACTCAATTAGCTATATTCACCATTCTGCGCAACAGATCTTAAAAAAAATCACTCATTCCTCCTATTGATGTGGGCAGAGGGGGTGGAGAAATGAAATGAGTGGTTTTTTGTATTATCTGTATGCAATTCCCTCTAACATCCTACCCATCTTATCCTATTCTGGATTGCTGGGCAAATTGTTTCAATAAGCGCCACATAGTATAAAGGCTTCCTGTTTCAAAGGGGTCATATGAAACCACCAAATTAAGTGAACACAAAAGGGAGGGAATCAGAAACTGAAATATTCATTCTTTGGCGGGGGGGGGGAGAATATTCTTATATATTGCCGTTATTTTTCTTTTGTCAACCTCAAAAAATGCTAAACTCTTAAATAGTTGAAGCAATAACAAATTAGCAAACCTCGAGGATCCTCAAAAGACTACTACAGCAATCCACCGGAGTGGAAAAGGGAGTGGGCAACGGGCCAACCCTACAGTAACGCAATAATGCCTTGTCATTACAGCGCGCATTCCGAGACAAACTTTCCAGACACAGAACTGGGTCTGACATCCTCTGCGGCGCTCAGTCCCTAGCAAACATCAACCAAAGTATTCGAAAGAGTAAAACCCCGTGTTCTGCATTCCAATATAATTACTGTTGGTTGTGGAGTCTGAGCAAAAGACACGCTTCGACCCTGGGGAGGCCGAGAACGCTGAGGGAGGGAAAGTCGCAGTGAAGAGCGGAGGTGGGGCTGCACAAACAGCCAACTGATAACCCGGGAGGACCGCGATCTGGGAGTGGCGGGGCGGGGGGGGGGAGGCTGCGCTCCATCCGACAGTAAGACGCGCAGGAAGGAAGGCCGACGGTTCCTTAAACAGGGGATGGGGATTCACTAAGAACTTCTCGAACTGCTCTCCCCAGAAATGGCACCCTGTGACGAAAGTTCATTGAGACCTGGACACCGGGCCGGCCTCCTAGGCCCCGCTTCCCGCCCTCCCACACCTGCCCGCCAGGCCGAGCCCACCCGACCCGGGGCGCCAGGCCGCCAGCCAGGCAGCGTGGGGTCCGCGCGGGGGCGACTCGCTCGCCGCCGCCCCACCTGTGCCTTCCAGATCTCGGGCGCTACGGCGCCGCCCAGAGAGCTCCCCGCCTGGCCGCGGCAACCCGGGGCTCCGCAAGCCACAGTCCAGAGGCTGCGAGTGCCCGCGCGCGTCGGCGGCTCACAAAGCGTTCCAGGCCGCGCGCGCCACGTCACGCGCCGCCTCCTCGCCGCCACGTGACGCCCACGCGGGCGTCTTTCCCACGCACTCGTCACCAGCCCGCCCAGAGTAGGTTCTGTGCTCTCTGACCTTCTAAACGGTGCTGGGGAGGACGTCAGTCGGCTTTGAACCCAGGAACCACCATAAAACCTTAGCGAGAGGAGGGAGCGAGGGTAGGAAATCCAGGAGAACCTCGTGAGTCAGCCACTCAACACGACCCCCTGACCAGGGTCTCCGCGGCCACGTCGGCCGCCCCTGCGCCTGCGCAATCTCTACTAGCCCCACGAAAGGGAGACAGCTGGAGACTCTAGGAAAAGAGCCGTGGATCGTGACCGCTTGTGGCCGCTGGAGGGAGCCGCAGGCGCTGTGCATCTGGGAACAAAGGCTGATCAGCAGGTCTGGAGCCCAGCCCTCATAACTACAGGACCCAGAGAATGGTCTGCCGCCTAAGGGTCTCAATAGGTTAGAACATTTGTACCAATGTCGTAGAAAACATAAGATTTCTGATGACAAGGCAATACCACTGGGCTTATAGAATGCTAAAAGGGAGAAGTCTAAGTAAACATGCTTTACTTCTCTTCAAAAGTTCTTAAAGTTAGTAAAAAGCTATAGATGGCAGATTTGAATAAGCTTGACTTTAAAAAGTCTATTTGTAGTTCCTTAAATGTTTAAATATAATTATATAACTTGTATTAAAGCAGTGGCTTGTTCCAGATGAGTTATTGCTTCCCTCAGTCAAAATTAGTTAACGATAGGGGCTATTGGATGATGTGGGAGGAGGATCTGTTACTTTCAAAATTGGGAGTCATTTGGTAGTTCCCTCAAATCTCAGAAAGGTAACAGCTATCTTAAAAGAGCAAACCCTGATAGGGTGGTGTGTATCAACACAAAGATTTGAATTGATTTTTCTTTAATAACCAACCCCTACAGAAACTCCCAAACTGTAGTTGTGTACCTTCTGCCACAATTTTAGATTGACCATCAAAATGTGTAATCTCAATTAGTTGAAAAGGTTGACATTTTAAAATAAAAGTCACATAACTTTTAAATGTAGTTGATGGGTTCTAAAATATCAATTTAAAATCATATCATCAAGTTTTAATACTGCATGCACACAATTTTCTTTATTAGGAGAAAATTTTACTTCATACCTTGAACTCCCACTTCATTCCACTCTGTGAAATTTTATCTTAACATAATATTTCTTTATTCTTGGAAATCTTTCATTGATCATCTACTATACTTCTCTGCATAAAAATAAGTCTAATTCTAATTTTTAAAATTTCCTTTGTCCATAAAGATTAGTGCTTAAAATGGAAGTTTCTATATGTGAAGACATTATATATGGAAAACCCAAAGAATTTACTACAAAAGTACTAGAAGTAATAAATGAGTTCATCAATGTTGCAAGTTAAACATAAATTAATAATATTTATATACACTGGCAATGAACATTTGAAAATGAAATTAAGAATTCTATTCACAAGCTGGGCAGGGTGGCACACACCTATAATACAAGTGGCTTTGGAGGCTGAGGCAAGAAGATAACAAGTTCAAAGCCAGTCTCAGCAACTTAGCGAAACTGTGTCTCAAAAATTTAAAAGACTGTGACTCAAAAATTTAAATGTGGCTTAGTGGTTAAGTGCCACTGGTTTCAATCCCTGGTGCAAAAAAAAAAAAAAGAATTCCACTCTCAATACTTCAGGAAGAATAAGGTACTTTGAAATAATTTTAGCAAAATAAGTAAACGATCTGTGCACTGAATACTATATAATATGACTGAAAGAATTTTTTTTAAATATTTAGGTATAGATGGACTCAACACAATGTCTTTATTTTTTTATGTGGTGCTGAGGATTGAATCCTAGGGGAGCTAGGGGAGCGCTCAACCGCTGAGCCACAATCCCAGCCCTGACTGAAAGAATTTAATTGAAAAGATACTCCATGCTCTTGAATTGAAAGATTTAATATTGAGATGGTTATACTCCTTAAATAGATACACAGATTCAACATAATCCCTGTAAAAATCCCAGAAGACTTAGGCAGAAATTGGTCAACTGATTCTAAAATTCATAAAATCATGGAAATGCCAATGACCTAGAATAGCCAAGACAGTCTTAAAAACAAATGGGAGGCCGTACACTTTCCAGTTTCGAAACTGACTGTAAAACTGCAGTAATAAAGTCAGTGTGGTGCTAGTGTGAGTAAAGACATATGGAATACAATTGATCATTATATTAGAATTAATATCCCCCAAATATGTCCTTGCATTTATAGCCAACTAAGTTTTAACAAAGGTGACAAGAAAATCCAATGGGAAAATTTTTTTAAACAAATGGGACAATCAAGGGGGGATAGTAGAGGATAGGAAAGGTAGCAGAATACAACAGTTACTAATATGGCATTATGTAAAAATGTGGATGTGTAACCGATGTGATTCTGCAATCTGTATTTGGGGTAAAAATGGGAGTTCATAACCCACTTGAATCTAATGTATGAAATATGATATGTCAAGAGCTTTGTAATGTTTTGAACAACCAATAAAAAAAAAAAGAAGTGTAAGAGAAAAAAAAAACAAATGGGACAATCAGATATTTCAGTAAACAGGTGAATTTGCACGCATATCTCATGCCATATATCAAAAAAAGAGCATAGACCTAAATGTAAGAACTGAAATGATAAAACTCTTAGAAGAAAATATAACTTCCCAGATTATGAAATTAACTTCATGAACATGTTAGGCCATGATTTCTTAGATATGACCTCCAAAGCCTAAGTGATAAAAGAAAAAAAAGTTTAATTGGACTTCATCAAATTACACTTTTGCTCTTGAAAAATATACTATCAGGAAAAGGAAAACACACAGTTTATGAGAAAATACCTGCAAATCACTATTTTTGACTTGTATATATTAACAACATTTACAAGTCAATAAATTAAAAAAGTAACAATTGAAAATGAGGAAGAAGATGTATAAATGACCAAATCTTCAAAGAAGATGTATAAATGACCAAAAAACCCATAAAAAGATGACATCATTAGTCTTTAGGGAAAAGCAAATTATAACCATTATAAGATAATTTCTTACCCATTAACATGACTATAATAATAATAATAATAATAATAAAGTGACAGGTTTGGAAACAATGTTCAGAAACTGAAACCCACATACATTGCTGTTAGGAATGTAAAATGATGCAATCATTTTTTGGAAAACAATTTTTCTTTTTTTAAAAAAGTTAGTGCATAGAAGTACCATATAACCTAGCAATTCCATTCTTAGGTGGAATTTTGAGAGCAATTCTTCAATTTTCTTGATTCAAAGAATTGATTAATGCTGTTATAAAACCTCTTCTGCTGCTACTTACTTTATTTAGGTAGACATAATTTTTTAGCTTACATTGTTAAAAATTAAAATTTGAATGGAATTGATATTGACCCCTGACCATTCTGAAAATAGAATATGTATAATACAGATAATAATACAAATACTTGTACACAAATATTCACAGCAGCATTATTTAATGTAGATCAAAAGTAAAAACAGCCCATATATTCATCAACTGAAGGATGGATTTTTTTTTAAATGCAGTGTATCCATTCAATTGAATATTGTTCAGCCACAAAAATGAATAAAGTATTGATATATGATAAACATAGCTGAACCTTAAAATCATTGTGCTCAGTGAAATAAATCAGACATGAAAGAACATATATTGTATGAGTCTTTTGTATGATTTTTTTTTTTAAGAAGGCAAATTTGAAGAGAAAGTACCTGAGTGGTTGCTAAGGGTTAGAGTTGGTAATGGTAAATGACTGTAAATGGGCAGAAAGCTTTTAGGGTAGAATGTTCTAAAATTAGATTGTAATGATGGATATTTACCTCAGTAAATATAAAACAATTTATTGAATAGAATATTCAAAAATGAGTGAAATTTATAATATGTAAATTATAACTAAAGCAGTTTTAAAGATGTATCCTATATTGAATGATTATTATTTGTATTACATATGTTCTAAATTTGGGTAAATACTTTTTGAATAAGCATCCTACAACTAGAATAGTATCATAAAAATTCAATCAACAATGTGATCTGACAGCGTTTTTAGAAAAACAGAAGTGAACTTAGTTAGCTACAGCTTAATTGGCCATCCAGTTCGTTACAGCTTAACTAGTTGTTTGCAGCCTAATTAGTTAATTGGCTACAGGGGCTTCTGCAACCAACTAAAGCTGTTACTGTGATTAAACTCTAGGGCAGACGCTCATTCAAATCCTTGTTCTCCCATAAATTTTATTTAATAGCAAAGAGTCAAAAAAAAAAAAGGTATCATGATATTTTTCAATCACCTAAGTAATATAAGAATCATGGTTTTTGTTCTGGATTTTGTGGTGTCTGTAGTATATCAGCTTTTTAAAATTTGTAATTTTTTAATTCACTTTTTCCCTAATTTTGTGTTTTTAGAATAAAACAACAACAACAACTAATTCTGTATTCTTTTCATTTGTCCTTTATTGTCTATGTCTTGGAGGCTCATCTTAACTCCAGATGGCTTGCCAAAGGGATTTTCCTAAATACCAAATAACTGTGTGGAGTGTATCCACCATACAACTTGGATCTGCTTATGCTGAAACAGTGCTTGAGATTAGCAGAAAATAATAGCTTATATTTGAAAATAATTTTTAACATTTAATACATCTTACTGAGATAAAAACAAAGTCTCAGATTTTTTAATCAGGCCAACAAGAATCAGCACTTTTACTCAGTCACAAGGAAATAAGATGTCTGAAACTGCCAACCCATCTCCCCTCTACCTCCTAAGAACACACTCTGACCTATGACCTAGCAATGAGGTTTCTAGATGAGGTATGCCAGCTAGCCCTTACACAAGCACAGCTATTTCA